TTCCCTACAGTGTGTTGACATTTCTTGTTGCTTCCCCCTATTTCTCCCTGTTTTCTATTTTTAGGTGTTTTATGTTTTTTGCTTATGTGCTCACTTGACTCTCTCCCACCAGCTGTCCTCCAGAATCTTGGCTGCCCTTTCAGTAGTGGTTTGTTGTCCACAGTTACTTTCTATTTGTGGGGGAAAAAATGTGGCCTCTCCGGGATTTACATTAGAAATGGGAGTGGAAGGTCAAGAAAAGCTTCCGAGGTGGTAGCCCAATGCTTTTGGGTTTGAAGGAAGAGTCAACATCTCTTGTTGTTCTCGCCTTTCACCAGCTGCAGCTGAGACTGCTTTCATAAGGCAGGCTCATTGTGGCTGGCAGCAGTGTCCTCTGCACACTGTGCTGCTCTGCTCAGGCTCCTTCTTAAGGCAGAAACCAGGTAGCAGTGTCCAAATGAGGTAGGTATTGGACAGGATAGTTAGGACTGCTGAATGAGAGGCTGGGGCACCTGGACCTCTTCAGCCTTCGCAAGAGAAGGTTGAGAGGTGACCTTGTGGCTGCCTATAAGTTCATCACGGGGGCACAGAATGGAATTGGTGAGGTTTTATTCACCAAGGTGCCCCCAGGGGTTACAAGAAATAATGGCGGCAAGTTAGCAGAGAGCAGATTTAGACTGGACATTAGGAAGAATTTCTTCACAGAGTGGCCAAGGTCTGGAATGGGCTCCCAAGGGAGGTGGTGCTCTCCCCTACCCTGGGGGTCTTCAAGAGGAGGTTAGATAGGCATCTAGCTGGGGTCATCTAGACCCAGCCCTCTTCCCTGCCTATGCAGGGGGTCGGACTCGATGATCTATTGAGGTCCCTTCCGACCCTAGCATCTATGAATCTATGAATGACAGGCAAATTAGCCTGTGCCCTCCATGCTAATTAGCCAGTCTACAGCATCACATGAGTGCTGCTACTCTGCTTTCTGTTTAGGAGGTGGGTGGTGAAGGGAAGCATGGTGTGCTTGATGACCCAACAAGCTTACTGTGTTGACCTGGCCTACATTTTTCCTTCTCTTTCCTGCCTGGAATAGTGCAGGGCTTCACTGGGGGATGGTAGAGGCAGCCATGCCCTCACCTCCCTAAATCTGGCTTGGCAGCAACATTCCCATTCAGAAAACTATTATGTCGCAAACTTCCTGTGAGACAGTGGGTAAATTATAATCTGTGTGCCTCAATCTCCATCAGTTAAATAGGGTACTGATAATTTCTGCCTCATTAACAGTAGTGAGGGACTTGCCAATTGAAATAATTAGGGAGGATTATTTTCCTTCCTATCTCATTGCTTTGTTTAGCCTAGTATAGTTTGTAATGGTGGAAGCTGGTATACAGCAGTGATAGAGTCACATAGGCCCAAAGCAACCATTTAAGTGTAGGCCTGGACAATCAAAATCTCCCTCTAGTATCTAATATAGTAAAGGCAAGAAATATTTAATTTCTATTGTGCTCACTCTAGTTAGCGACCAGAAATGTTTACTGGAAGTTGACGGGTAGCTATACAATCGATAATCACTATTAAACAGCAATTATATTGACTAAACAAAGCAAAATTCATCTAACAGACAGACCTCAATGCAGCTAAAAACAGCCTTTTCACCAGGATAAAGAAATTAAAATAGACTGGCTTTTATAGCCCTTTGTATGGACTCTTTCGGTGCTTTAAGGGTTTTTTTCCCCTTTGTTGTAGCCAATATTGGATTCCTTTGTTGGAAGAGTTAAATGCTACTGTGTGACAGTAACGCTAAGGTAATGGAGGCTCTGCTGGTTTAAAGCAGTTAACTGTTTTGTTTATCTGTTTAACCTACCTTTGCCTCTCTCAGTAGTGCCCCCTTCCCCTATCATTTCCTCCCCCTTTCCCTATCCTTTGTATTTAAATTACTTTGTTCCTTTCTATGTATTGCCATTGCTATGAACAGACTTATAGACAGCATCTGATGAAGTCAGCTGTTGCCTACAAAAGCTTATGTCTTTCTGAATGAACCAGTCTCTAAGGTGTCATCCTTCCTTGCCTTCTGCCTGACTTCAGACTAACATGGCTAACTACCTCTCTTTATTTTTATTATATTTGAGGCCTTTCAAACAAGATTCCACGATATACCCTTAAACTGATTTATTGAGCACAACTTTGGTGGGGATGGCTACTGCATTTGCTACAAAATGTGCATTTCAGCAGTGTTTTTGCTCTCAGAGAGCTAAATTTTCCCTTGAATTTCTCCCTTTTGCTGGAGCTGCTAGGTTCAGGATTCTGTAGGGTTTTGTGGTTTGAGTTGGGGGCATTCATTGTGACAGGGCAGGGAACTAAGAAATTTCCATGTGGCTGGTGGATGCCCCTCTGGAATATAAGAAGGGAGTTAATGCTGCTTCATGGAAGCATGGGATGCCTATACATGTGCAGGGCAGGCATTTCCAAAGATGCTATAACTTTTGCGCTTTACTTACAGCACTTTAAGTATAACACCTTAAAACTTAATAGGCATTCCACAGTTTGGTGCAAGTTTCATGCCTTGCTGTACTTCTATAGAGGAGGAGGCAGGGAATGCTGGATATTCTTTTTGAGAAATATGCTTATATTGGGACCAGAGCTAGGTACACCTGATGGTAGCAAGTAGTAATTATCACTTTGTAAAGCCCCAGTTAAATACACATGCAATAAAGGCAAACTAGGTAGGCCAAGTTGCTTTACTGCAGTTCACCTTGCATTAAAAATGCATACAATAAGGTTTAATTAAGGTGACTTCCACCGTTTAAAAAATGTTCTAAAGTTGCCCATGTGTATTAAGTGATGGCTTTAAAATGTTTTAATGGTGAAAATCACCATATGTATGGGCACCTATAAACTCCAGAACCCTATATCCGGCCCCTAACAATCTATAAATCTATAAATGCTACAGCTCAGAGGTAGGGAGGCCTAGTCTGTGGTGACCTAGCTGTGACTGAGCTTTGCCCTTAGAGGGCAGAGTGCCTGTACAGCAGTGTGAAGGGGCCAGGAGCTCTTTGTGCAGATGCTTTTAAACCTGTGGGACACTTACTTTTTCTTTTTTCTTTCCATGGTCCTACCCCCTTAGGGAAGTGATCTATGATATTTCAAAGTAATTACATTGTCTGGGTACATTATAGCAGTGCTTCAGCACAGTAGGGCTGGTGTAGTCATTTCTCAATAGAGCTGTTGTGAGGTGAAGCTTGAAAGCTGATCTGTAGGAAACTGGATCTAATTTCTTTTTCTGTTTCCCGAAAGGTGTTTTTGAAGTTACTGCAGGATACAGGGAAGAAGCCGCCTATGCCCTTGGCAATAGACTTGGAGGCCCCACTTGCTAATGGTACTGAATCAACCTATCAGAAATGTAAGTAAAAAAAAATAAATTCTATGTCCTGCTTCAAAGCAGTTGGTTTTAGAAAGGTGAGAGGCCTACAGTTAATCAGGCTAAAGCCTCCCTACAGTTGGCAGCATGTGTGAGAGGAGTAGGCTACTGTAGGTCATCACAATCCTGTGTGATGTCTTCTCACGTGCAGTATTCAGAGGTATCCAGATACCCAGTTTGAGATTATATGCTTCACAAACTTGCCCTGGCTTACTTTAGGACTGACATGACTAGAGCAGAGCTTGTAATCTTTCTTTAGCTACTTCTTTCTCTGTCATCATGGACAGCATTACCATCAGGTTCATCATTCAGGCCCAATAATTTAGATGTCATCTTCAACTTCGACCTATTGCAAGGTCTTCACAATTGTATAAGTATTGCAGATTCTTTCTGCATGACATCTCTAAAATATACACTCCTCCCTTTCCATCTACACAGCTGAAACTCTCATCTGGTTATTTAGTGTCTTAGGGCACTTGTAGACATGCAGAAGGGCTGCTCCAATGTGCTGTAATTACGGTGTGTTGGGCAAACTTGATTAATTAGGTCTGACAGTGTGTGCTAATTAGCGTGCCTCCAGCAGCCTCTGTGTCTCATGTATTAGTGACCCCACGCTCCAAAATGGTGGCAGGGGTGCTTTAACTAAAGCCCCGTTGGTGAGCTTTAGTTAGTGCCCCCCCCCACTGTTTTGAAGCGAGGGGACGCTGATGCATGGGACACTGTTAGTGCTTTAATTAAAACGCCTCACCCCCTTTCTTGAAGCATGTGTAAAAATCCTCTTAGTTGCTGTAACCTTCTTTTCTCTGGCTTTGACAACTGTAGTCTTACCATACTTACATCCCTTCAGAACACTGGTTGAAGATCACTGTTTGAGCCCGTTGCTTTGACTATATTATCTCTGTCTTAGCCTTCCTGCTCCGCCTCCCTCATCTGCATTGCATCAACTGTAAGTCATTTGTCTTTGCTTTCAGGAACCTTGGTGGCCTGTGCCCTCCCTATCCAACATTTCTGTATCCAAATGTCAACTCCCATCTCTAGTCAGCCCTGGATGTTGGCTTCCTTCACTCACTTGTTTAAATTTTAGAATGAGCTCCCTCACATGCTGTCCCCTCACATTTGGGGGTGGTTTGTATAAGGAGCTGGAAAGCCACTTTGTTGTTTTCCTCGAAAAGCCTCCTTAGAACTCTCCTTGGCTGTGGTGCTTACAAAAATCTTGACAAGTGCAAACTCTGTGGGTGGCATGTTCAAGAGCATTCCTTGCTGACCTTGTTCAGCTCCCACAGCAGTGTGTGGGAGTTTTACATTGACTTCAGTGGAGCAGCTAAAGCAATGCTAAGCACTTTAGAACATGCCCCTCCTTAGAGTTTTCTATTTTGTGATTTTCCCTACCTAAGCTAGCATGAGGTTTGAACACAAACATCACATTATAAATGCCCTGTGGTGACCGTCTCATTGATTGTCTTTTTCTGCCTCTACTTTCCTCTCACATAATTATGGAGATAGGGATGATAAAATGAAAGCGACAAGGCGCCCTTTGGAAAAAAAAAAAACGAAAATAAGAAAAAACCTCTTTGTGAAATGAGAACAGGTGCTGTATTATATATACACTTTTAGATATCCCTTTATTTTAGGACTAATTAAAAACAAAGTTCCATGGTACATATCAAGTTAGATAACTTTTAGGAAGTCTCAGGGCAGTTTATCAAATTGTTTGTCCCTTGCACATCACATTTTCATTAATGTATACAAATTGGAATTTATAAAGTAATCAATGTTTGGCCTCCACTCTACCTCATATCTTAAGATAATAGCCAGCTATTTTTCAGAACATATAGCTATGTATTTATTAGATGTCTCACATAATTAAAGAATCCATTAATTAGGAGCAATAGTTCTTATTTCTGAGGCTGATAAATTACCGTAAGAAAATGTGATAATAATGCTATTTCTGTGGGGAGAAGGATGGAGAGAAATTTTCATTCATGGAAGATGACTGTCATTCATCATTAAGGACAGTTGTGAAGTGTAGGCATAAGGGATTTGGGAGTTGGTCATGAAAGGTATCCATCTTTGTCAGAGTAAACCAGAATACTCCATGGGCAAAACTTGACCTATATAATTTTGTCTTTGAAAGCAGACTCAAAGACAGTCAAACTTTCTGTTTGGCAGAGTAGTTCAATGAATTTTGGCAAAGTCCTAGAGCGAACAGCTGGATTATTTAAAAAGATCATAGGATTCTCCTATGCATATTAAGAGAATTGGGACTGAGACGACACATGGTGGCTAACACCAATGAGGGTAACAGGCATAGGATTGCATCAAAGCCCAGTGCAGAAGGGCTATAGCCCTGTATACATGGCCTGTTTAATATGGAATTATCATAGTTACCTATGGGGGGCCTTATCTCATACTTGCAGTCTTAAATGAACCTATTTTCACAACATACCAGGCACAGTTCTTTTGTTCTGATGTTACAAGTTGGAAACTGGGGTACAAATACTGAAGGTTATGACAGGACTTAGTTGCCTCAAATAGGACTTGGGTAGGTATTAGCACCCAGCTGCCTTCCCTGCCCCCTGCCATGCAGGTCTCAGGACTCTGTTAGGAAGCAGGGTGCGGGGCTGCCCTCCACTTGTGGCAGTCCTAGGACCTCCATTGTATGCGGCAGGGAAGGCAGCCAGCTCCATTGTGTGGGGCTTCTCCCAGTGGCACATGAGTATGGGAGCTGCACGTGTGCTGCATGGAGCCCCTCGCGATAGAGGCGGGCCAGCCTGGCTGAGCTCCTTGTTCCCAATTGCAGTGCTGGGTGGAGCTGTGCACCACTGGGTGGCAGCACCTCTATGGGGCATGAGTGCTGTAAATAAAAAGGGAGGCAAGAATGAACCATAATGGCTATACGGCAAAGTTATTTGAGCCAAATAGCTGCTGGTGGGGGTCGTGTGCCATGAGGGGGAAGATTGTGGAAGGTCCCCATGCCCCCACCCTTGCATTGCAAAAAAGCCACATACCCACACCCTGCCTCGACAACACCCCCACATATACACAACTCCCCCAACATACCCTGTTGCCCCCACACCTCCCCACACTCCACCATACACACACACACACACACACACCCCTACCACTAACCACACCCCCTCAAACAATATACAAGAGTAAGACTTTATTTTTGAGTTATTATGCAATCACCTCTGTTTATAGTATACAGACACAAAACATGACAAAAATATTTTTTGTAATAAAATTAAAATACATTATAGTAGGTGTTGTTTAACTTCTACTGTATGATTTGGGTTTCTTTTGGTTCCAAGATGGCAACCCTCCCCTCCCAAAAGGAGTACTTCTGGGGGGCAAGGGGAGGGACTTCTGGTGGCAAATGTCAGAGGTTAGGGGTGGGACTTCTCATCCCAAGATAGCAACCAGAGGGTGGGGCACCTGTCAAGGGGCAGGGCTACCCTTGCAGACACCCAAACTAATTAAGCAGCCCGCCAGCCAAAATAATTGCCCGTCTCTACTCTAGTCTAATGGTTGTGCCATGCTGTTGAGGGGTTCCAGTTGTACTTCAGGACGTTTTTTTCTATGCGCTTTATTGCCTGCTTATTCAATTTTTTAAAAAATAAACAGTCTTAGGAGTAGGGACCAGAAACCAGATCTTTCCCGCTTCTCAGGTTATTGTTCTGGCCTCTGGGAAACATGGTCCATGAATACCCAGGAGAATAGCTTTAAAGAAAAGGAGTTAGCACTTTCCCAGCCCAGAAACAGCACTCTTAGGATACCGGTGGTTAGAATTTGAATTTCTCAGGCAGGGGGTAGAATTGAACCCAGACCTCCTGCTTCCCAGGTGAGTGCTGTAACCACTGGAGCTCTCAGAGAAATGAGGATCTTCTCCCCAATCACAACCTCCTCCTGTGTCTTAAAAGAAAATATTCTGGATTGTAATGTTTTTGAAAGAGAAGCTTATGCACTTGTCTTAGCGGTAAGGGTTTCAGCTGTGAATTTTGAGTGGAGCAAGGGATCTCCTGAAGCATAGACTCAGCTCTAAGCCCAAAAAAGGGGAAGGATTTAAGATATGTCTCTCTCCTCCTTACTTACTACTCCCTAGCTTGAGCACGCCTTTTTGCTCACTGTTTTGAATTCTATGTGTATTGCATAGATGTAGGCACCAAAGTGGGGGTTATGGATCTTGTTATAGCGGCTAGATGCCCAAGTGGTTGATGCTGCAACACTGTGCTGGAGTCTCTTTGTGGGTCTGAGAGAAAGCTTGCTCACACAATGTATGTGGATGAACAGAGAGTTGAACCCAGGTATCTCAGGCCCCTGGCTAGTCGAACCTTTTTCTTTGGAGTGTGTGGGTCCCAGCAGCAGGGCTCACAAAAAAAAAACCTCTGCATGTTTTCTGAGTGCCACATTGAGACATGAGGGTGCAGATATGTTAGGGCACAGCACAAATTTGCAGGAGTCAAAACTGCATCGTGGAGACCGTCAAGCTGTCTGTGCCTTTGTCCATATGGTGTAGTAAGCTGGGATCGACTGCCCTGGCATATGTCTCAAGGCAGATGTTGGAGGGTATTTCTTCTCTTAGCTATGTTGTGTTCTGAGTGCTTTCCACAGATTATAGCTTCTTTAGCTGAAGTGTTTTAGCTCATATCTACACTCCAGCCAACCAAGGAGCTTTGTTCTGACTGACCTTGAGAGATTTTAAGAAGTGTAACACTTCCTCTTGCTTTTGCTGCTCAATTAGAGATGAGCTGTCTTGTGAAAGGTGCCATCTAGAGTCGAGAGAACGCAAGACTGGTCCCTTGAGAGCGTGTGTTTGTATGTCTGCTGATGATGCAACGCTGCTGTGAGAAGAGGCTGACAAAGCTCTTCATAAAAGCAGTCAGGAAAAAATCCAAATGGCTTAGAAAATTCACGTAACATGCTTCAATTTAGAAATAATACAATAAAACCTCATGCATTCAAAGCACAGGGGACCAAAAACC